AAGCTCTTTTGAGGCATTTGCTACAGTAATGAGAAGTGGTATTTTATCAAGGCCAGGTTACTAAATTTGAGTTGGAAATATTAGAACTCGCCGTGGCACCTCCAAGAAGGTTTCACGTTCACGCGTCGTATACCTGGAAACCTTTTAAGGTAAACTTAGGGGGAGGAGAGAGGAGATTTTATAATTTCATAGTTTTAAACGGCCTAAATACCTTAACTCGCTTAGAAAATAATGAGCTATAACGAAATGGGCACAGAAATAAAATCTAACATCATTAAATTATTTTTCCTATTTGTATAAAAGCGCGGGGTGAAACCCGCGGGTATAAGCTAGTACTTCATAAACCATTTAAATTCAAATTCCTAACTGTGCTGCAAACTTGACAGAACTGTAAAAAACTGTCTTCAAATCTCAAAGTTTTTAATCATAGATTTTTTATAAATATTTCGAGTAATCTGTTTTGTAGCCCATACAATTTTAGTGTAGTAAAGTGTAATCTTGCATCTTAAACGAAAATATTTAAATAAGAGAATACCTTCAAGTAGTGCGTAGGAAGAGCGATTAATTATTCTAAAATTGAATGGACTATAGAACTGCATATTTATAAACTCTGATTTAAAATATTGAAGTTTTTATAACAGTTTCTAGAATTCTACTAAATTTCCAACACAGTTAGAAACGTGAATTTATTTGTTTATGTTATAATACTTATGAGCCATCCTTAAATAAAACATTTACGAAAAATATCTAGCATGAAAACCATTGTGAATATTCAAAATTCTATATATTCTTAATTCGATTCCGGAGAGTCTATGTATTACGTTTCAATAAATTTAATACAATTTAACGCTGAGTTATCACAAATAAGCATTCAGTATATCACCGTTTTTCTCATTTTTTTAAACGACTTAGTTTGGATTTTTAATTATAAGTATCCCAGAAATACCCATTATACGTAACAAATATACATAAATTATTTTTAAGAATAACGGGTTTAGAAAATGAAGGAATAACTGACATTTTATGTTCCTAATTTTAAAGCACAGTATGCCTGAAAAAGTAAATTAGTGCGCAAAATAGATAGCTATTTAAACATTTTTTTATTTACAAAATTGTATGCGTGCTTATTTAAATAAAAGGCTCTATACTATACTTCTTAGAACCAGCTCTAAAATAACCAAATTTTTCCTAGCTCGGAGGTAACCCTTTTTGAACTATCTAGGAACTGTTGTTATATGAACTGTCTCAGAGCCATCTAAGCCAGAGTCAGCTCAGAACAAGTTCAAGAGTTCTGCAGAGGGCGACAATTGTCACTTCGTAGGACATCGCCATGTTAAAAAAAGACAGTTGAAAGCATTGAGTTGGGATAGATGAAGAACCAGTACCGTCTCTTTTCGGGCTAGCTCAGCGCAAGTTCTAAACCAGTTTGATTTACTGCAGGGTGACTAATATGTGAAACATATACCTATTCAGACTGGAGATGGGCGCGTGAGTTATTTTGGCTCACGTTCACGCACGCTCACGTTGATGGTTTTGTAAATCACGCACACTCACGTCCTGCTATATTTTTTTCAATCACGTTCACGCACGCTCACGACGCCTACTTTTTCAATCACGCACGCTCACGCACGGTTTCTCACGGACATTTTTTTCAAATTGAAACTTTATTTATATAAATAGCATTTCATATAAATAGACTTTTATCACACAAGTACGGTTGCCAGACGTACTGATTTTATCAGTACAGTACTGATTTTTCAACTCTTGTACTGATTTTATTCATTCATTCAATCAGTACGCTAATGTCCTGATTTTTCAAAATTTGTACTGATTTATATTGAATTTTCAATTAAAACAAAACACTTTAGGATTTTCTTAAGGTTTCTATATAACGTTGGAGCTTCCGTAAACGTAGCAATTGCGATAATACGATGGAATATAAATTATTTCAAAAGAGGACTGACGTTTTTTGTCGAGTGTTGTTAGTTATCTCGAAAATAATTTTCAGTTTCATTTATTCCATATCCATATTGAGTCTCTTATACTCGCCTTTTGTCCAACATAAGGCCTTATACTCAAAAATCTAATAGACTCTGAACTGGTGACTAGGACGCCCATTCATTCGACCAACCCTATACAGTTTTTCTTTTTTTTTTATACAAAGCCTAAGAAAAAATACATCTGAAAAAGTCTTGCGTGCCAAGCAAATTTTTCTCTCAAAGTTTACGGTGCTGGCAAATGTAAATAAGGATTAAAATTTAAAAACTAATTAATACAACTAAAGAAAAATCTGTGGAAAATTAACAATAAAATACTTTTTCGCAAAATCTATAAAGGACCCTTTTATTTCTCAAAAAGCCTGGGAAACAGTTATTCGTCGCCACGCTGTAATACAAAAAATTTTAATAATGGCTTTTGCCTAAAACTTACAATTCTGTTTTCTCAATTTACTGACATAATAAAATAGTTTTGCATATAAGACATAGAGTTAGATACTCTTTTTAGCGCATTCTTAGTCTTTCAAAGCTTTTGCATTCTTGAAACCATTAATTTAAGCCATGAGGAAATACAGATGAAGTCCTTAAATAATGGTACTTTTCAACAGTTTGAAAAAATATGTAATTTTGTCTTTTTCAATACCACACTCAAACGAAGCAACTCAGAGGATCTTAAGTATAAAGTTTGTTTCCTGGCGCAAAGAGAGAAACCGGCTTCTAATTTAAATTTTTGAAAGTGAACTTCAAATTAAAAGTAATTTTAAAATGAGAAATACAGAATTCTTTGACTATATAAAGACTGAAAATTTAAATGATATCATTATCGCTATTCAAAAATGTCATAAATGTAAAATAATTTATTGGCTTTTAACACGCATGTTAACACTTTTATTTTTTATGAACTATATTTTATTTATATACGAAAATATTAAGGTTATTCACACTTTCCTGGTTATCTAGTTATATTTTTTATACAGTTTACAACTACAAAATACGCTACACGGAACCAAAAACTTACATAATATATATGAATTTGTGCATAAGACGCGTGAAAATAATCATAAATATTGAACCAATGTACGACTTCATGCGTCGTATGTATCTTTTCATAAAATTTATGAACAGAGTTCTTAAACCATATCCACAAACCGAAATATAAAAACCATGAACTATAACCATAAAAGTTATGAATGCATTCATAATATTCGTGAGCTGTATTCACTACTTTTATAGGCGCTCCCATAAAATTTATGTACACATTCGTAAACTTTGTGAACAATATTCATGAACTTTATGAACATATTTATAGATTTTATGAACACATTCATAAACTTTTTGAAAGCATTCATAATATCTACGAAGTACGTTCATAGGCTTTGTGAACAGTGCACACAAACTTCATGAACAATATTTATAACCCTATGAAAAGTATTAATTACCTTTACGAACGATATCCACAAGTTTTATGAATAATATTCATACACTTTATGAATAATTTTCATAAAAATTGTATCTCAAAATTTCCTTAGAAAAAGAATTAATCTGTATATATTAAATAATTTTTTATTTATGCGAACAAGTAACATATATATATGTACATTTTTATAATTCATTGATATCAACAGAAATAATGAGATAAAATATAAATATAAGCACCATGGGCGTTGCCAGGTAGGGGCAGGGGGGGTGCTCGAGCCCCCCCAAACTTTCAAATTTTCCTTGTATATATATAAAATAGTACCCTGAAATGCCAGCTTAATAGGGTCGAGGCCCCCCCTAAATTTCATTCTGGCTACGCCGATGATAAGTACATACATACATACACTTCCGATCAGCTAATTACGCCTTTGTTTATTTTTTATTATTTTTTCATAAAAGTCTAAAAATTGTTGTTTTTACAAAAATTTTTATAATTCATTGGTAGAATTCGTATTAACAGAAATAATAAAATAAAATATTATGCATACATTTCCTTTGCGGACATTAATTGAATTCATTTGAGGTTTGGCTAAAATATTAGTCAAAACCATCAAATAAAATTAAGGGCAGATTTAAACCGTATTCTATATCGAGCAGATGCCGAAATAGAAAATTATTACCAATCTAATCAACTATCGCTGATGATGTAAAGAAAAAAGGTTTGTCCATTAAATTCGCTATCACTAACAAAAATAATGCTTTAAAAGAATCTATATACTTATATGAATAAATAAGGCATTTTGTACTGATAAGGTAACTCCAATTTCCAATCAGAGCTCTGGAAGCCTTTTTATCATTTAGGTATTTAATTACAAATTAGTCGGCCGCTGTGGTGTAGTGGTAAGCAGTGCGCGCTTCCACTCCGCAGCACCTCGGTTCAAACCCTGGTCAAAGCAACATCGCTAAAAATATAGAAAAAAGGTTTTTTCTTACAGCGGTCGTCCCTCGGCAGGCAATGGCAAACCTCCGATTGTATTTCTGCCATGAAAAACAGCTTCTCATAAAAATACAATCGCCGTTCGGAGTCGGTGTAAAACTGTAGGTCCCTCCGCTTTGTGTGACAACATCAAGGCGCACGCCACAGATCGGAGGAGAAGCTCGGCCAAACACTAACATTTGTGTAAGCGCCAATCTATTATTATTATTATTATTATTTAATTACAAAATTGTATCACGGTTTTATCACAACTTCAATTAAAAACCTTCATTAAATTAGGATGACACGGTTGTTTTGTATTTACATACATGCATACATATGTATAGAAATTCATGAAAATTTGAATTATTTTTTTTTTGTAATATACATAAGTCTGATTTTTTTATAAATAAATATGAAAACTTTTTATATGCAATAAATGTATAGCTTATGTACACACACTTGTGGTCAGCTTAATTAAGTTAGGTGCTTGTTATACAATGCGCTAGACTTTTATAAAAAAATAATAAAAAAAAAGAAAAATAGCTAGTTCCTATGTAACTAACTTAATTATCTGACCAAAAGTGTACATTAAATTAGGAGTCTTCTTCAAGTTCTTGCATCAGAATATTTATTTTCAAAGTTTTTTCCTTGAGGTAATGCTAGTTTGTAAAAGTAAGCTTCAATAAATGTCCAAAATGTTGTGGAAGCATTAAATAAATAAAAGGATTTGAAACATATATCCATACAGCGTAAAAAGCTTTGGAATGGAATTTTTGTACCATCTAAATATAAAAAAAAATTCAGTGAATTTTGAGTAATTGTTGTCTCCTACCGACAGGATAAAAGGCTGTATGTTTTCTTTACGTTGGCTTAAAAAATTAATGTGATCATCTAGGTTTTGAAGACTTTGTCCGACAAAAGCATACGATTCCTGAGAGTCCTTTATGGTGAATCTGATTGTACATCTTTTCCCAGTATTATCCTTTTTCATAACGTGTCCTGTAGGGTAAAGATATCCATGTAGGCACCAAAAAGTCTTAAAAGCAAAGAACGTTTCATCTAAAAAAATAGAGAAAAAATGTATGTATATTAGAAAATTTTGTTACCCTTAGAGAAAATTCTTAAAGTACAACTTACGAAATCATACCTTTTTCTAAATCCCCTTCAGACATAGAGCTGATAATGATTTTTGTGGCACCGTCCTTTAAGCACTCACTTCTCTTAAGATGTAAAAAGCTTCAAGCTTTAAGATGTAAAGAGCTTCAAAGCTTTTTGCTTCCAGTCAACAAGAAAATTATCATGATTGGGAAAAATCGTACCAAAGTCTAGATCAATCTGAAAACATCGAAAGTGTTAGTTTTTATAATATCTCAAATTGGGAACCTTAAATCAAAATCTTACCAATCGATATCCGTTCGGCTTTTTATACTCTGGCCAGTCTACGAAAACTTGTTGAATGCTTTTAAATTTTTCCTTTATTTGATGAATTCTATAATTTGCACTGGCCTGCCAGCAGCTTTCGAATTCTTCTGCTGTCAAATTGTCGTATTTAAGATGCTGTATGATTTCTTCTGCATGATCATCGCGAGCTGAAAATGTACATATTCATAAATTTTATAAACTTGTAACGAACAAACTAGTTTTTAATTTTATTTACCAATTTTATCAGCTTTGGTATTTTCTTCAGGTACAGGAATTATAGACAAACGGTTTTTGAAGCTTTTTTTTAAGTAGCAATATTTGGTATACAGTTTCTCTCTTTTCGGTTCTGTAGAAGTTCAGCTTTTCATTTGGAAAAAGGCTTAGGATTTCATTCTCCAAGTAGTAGCTTACTTGAAGTGACATGTGAATGTTTTTGGCAATGTAGTAGGTTACAATTATATTGATGAGTACATTTCTATGAGCGTCGTCAAGTCTGTTGTTACATTTATAAAAATCTTTTACATGTAACGACTTAATATCTGCGTGTAAAATTGTTGCAACAAAAGCGTTTTCCTCGAAATCTTGCGAATTGGAACCAGTGGTAGGGCTGGAAGCAGGCGATCTAGATCTTACTGGGAAAAATCAGCGGAGCAACTAGGCGACGCAGTGCTAACGGAAGCGTGAAAGTGCAGAGGTTTATTAATCTGGTTTCTCCAGTTTTCGAAGTTGAATTCAAATAAGATTCGGTCACCAATTTTGAAAGTTTGCAAAATCTCTTTCAAGTGGTCAAACTTCAAAATTTTCAATATCTTCACGTCGATATTTTCCTCTGAAAAACAGAAAAAAATCATTACTTTTAAAAATTAAAAATTTAATAAAAATTAGGTTGTTCATAAATAGAAACAAATATGCATACAAACCCTTAAGACATGTGTACATGTGTTCAACATTCCAAGATCTTAGTAATATTTTTAATTCATCGTCTTCAAGGATTTCCTGCTGGTTTTGTAATAAAGGTGAATCATCAGCGATACTAATGATTGCGGGAAACAAATCATTAATAACTAAAGACATTATCGAGGAATTTGGTTCTTTATAAAAAATGTAGTTATCTGTTCGTTGGGAAACAGTTCTCCTTTAACTGTATAAAAAATACTCCTCTGGATGATTTAACCAATGTCGCTGGTGGTCCAACTATTTCTGAAATGGATAAAGCAAAATATTCTCCCAATAACTTTGGATCGATTTCGAAAGCTCTGTAGTGTTTATTATACAATATATTTCGAATTTTTTGACAAAACAAATAAATTTTTGCTTCGTACAATATTATTGTTTTTATAACATAAATGTTGTAATCTTTCGAGCAAGTACCAACATAAAAACCCTCTTTATAGATAAGATTGTTGTGTGAAACACTTTTATATAATCTTAAGTTCTCTTCGGCTATGTTGGTAACAAGGCTTATTATTCTTTTGAAACCATCTGAGGAGTTGTCAACTTTTAAATTATAAAATGTTTTATTTTCATTAAAACCATTTAAAAGATAGGACGCAAACGAGTACTGATATTTTTTTACAACCGAAAAACAAATACTTTTTCTGGATGTGATTGCATGCGTATATAATTTGAATTGTCTATGCTTAGCTTCAAAGGGGAAACTCCAAAATTTTCTGACAGGACCGCACGACTTCATGACAGTTGTGTAGTGTAACAAAATATGAAATTTTGGTTTCAACGTCTGGTCAAAAAGACTATTGAAATTTTTATTATGCAATTCAATTTTGTCTTTGAGAGAAGTAAGATAAAACTCAGTTATTTCGAAAACCAAAATATCATCAATTATTTCGTTCAACAATAAAACAAATTGCCAGACTTCGTCGTCTTCTTTTCTTTTCTTTAAATGTTGCACTTTTATTTCAGGAGGTATATTTTTGCATTCCATTTCCCCATAGTCAAAAGATTTGATTCTTTTGTTTAACGTAGATAAGTTAAAAAAACTTCATTTTTTGTGTAAAATGGGTTATAGCACAGCACAAGTCGTAATGGCATACACCTTCCATTATGTCATGCATTGCATCAACTGCTAAGTTATCCACTACGTGAAATGATGGAATTTTATTAAAAACACATCGCTCTACGATACCGTTTTCGTTGTTATTAACATCTTCCAAATACGTGGCGCGACTTCTTTGAAGGTCAAGCCGCTCTAAACAAAGTTCTTTGGTTAAGGGCGCAGTTGCTGTGCAAAACCGACAAAAGGTGCCTTTAAAGGATTTATTGAAGCCCAAAACAGAGTTGAGTCCCAAGTTATCGCCTAAAACAAGAACTGGAATAAAATGAGGCTTATATACTTGCCCGTTTGACAAATTTACTTCAATACCTTCCTTTTCAAGCACAACTAAGTGATCTACAAAATTTTCCAAACAATTTTTATTGCCATATTGCTTTACGTATTTGCTTTTAGTAACTGCTGCAAGAAAAATACTATTTCGCTTTGTCTCGCCAAAAGGATGACATGGAAATGAATAGTAAAAGTGACACAAGGAATGTTTTCCAGCGTGAGATCCAAGTGGATTATTTATTTCAATATCGTCCGTGTACAAAAAATATGGAATCAACAATTTACCCGGATATAAACTACATTTACTTCGCCACAAATCGCCTTGGCAAATATTTGTAAAATTGTGTGAAGCTTGGAGCTCCTCCATATGGCGCATCATTGCCAAAAGCAAGTCATCTTTTTCTAAAATAGCTTTAAAAGAATGTGACAATGGCATTATTGCCATTTTCGATAGCTTTTCACCAGACGTAAGCACACCTTTCTTTAAAACAAAGTCTGGCTCCCTATTGATCACAATTTCATTTAAGATGGTGGTGTATCCTTTAGCTGCCAGTGTTTTTGCAAGAATATATTCCGATTTTATTGACTCAGTGATCCTTGAGCATGAATTTATGATGCCCAAAAATTCAGATCTCAAGTCAAAATTGTGTCCAATTTTTGCTTCAACGAATCCTTTTAAAATATCCAAAATTGGATTCATTATCATATTTTTAACCATATTTGTTACATCCGTCGCGTCTTTTCTTGAAAAGTTGCTACGTCCATGCAAGGACGATGAAAATTGCAATACACTGACGTGAAGGTCTTTTAACTTTTTGTCAACACTAAAATCTTCAGCTGAGACAATTTGCTGCGTGA